TTTTTAAAAAACTTTTCCCCATCAGTGTAACTGTTTTCCATTCATATGGAAATTTACATTTCTCCTTCATCACAACACAATGGTATTTATCAGGTAACCAGTCAACCCTTAGCCTACTAAAAGCATGAAGCAGGAACAAAGAAAAAAATCCCAAAGCTAGGTTTCATCAGAGGATGGTAGCTTCCCGGAAGACGGAAAAACAAAAGGGAAATAACTAACAACTGTGATTCAAGAGATGAGATTTTATTTTAAAAAAGAGAAGAGGATTTAAGTGTCAGAATACAGAGAAAGAGGGAAGTCAACAAAGAAAGTTGACACAGAAGAGATGACAAGAGACACACATGTGTTAACGAGAACAGCCAGAACACAGAAATGCTACTGTGAGCTTCTAAGACAAGGATATTGCCTCCTGCTGGGTGCTACCCATTTCAAATCATGGTGTTGTTGTTAAGTGTCATTGAACAAGTTCCAACTCCGAGCGACTTTGTATAGGGTTTCCTATAGAGTGGCTGTGAGTTTGAACTGCCGACCTTGTGGTTCAAACCGACCTGGCCGTCCAGGGCATTATCGCCAGGATTCCATTTGGAATCATAGCACCTAGCAATAAGCGACTCCACAGCACTTAACAACAACACTGCATTTCTAATCACGGTGACCCCGTGTGGTAGAGGACAGCTGCACTGCAGGGTTGCCTGGGCTGTAACAGATAATGCAAGCATAGCCTCAGCTCTTTCTCCCACAAAGAACAGTTCCAACTCATTAGCAGCCCTGTATAAGGTTTTCCAAGGATCAATTGGTGAGTCTGAATCACCGACCTTGTTCAAACCAATCTTGTGGTGTAGTGCTTTTTCCCACAGCACCACACAAGATTCCTGAGAGTTGAAATCATCACCCTTTTGGTTAGCAGCCTGGTTCTGAAATGTTTCCTTTCTAAACATGGAAGATTCACTTAGATTTCTTGGTTCTCCTACCATAGATAAGGCTTTACAATTGATTTGGCAAGCTGTCAGCAACTCAGACAACATACAGAGCACATTACCACATACACGTTCTGTTAAGGAAAACAGAAAACTCTGAAAATGGTGCCAGTTAAATCACATGATGAGCACACAATCTTGTCACTGAATCGTGAAGAATGGGCAAATGGCAAATGGGTTGGATGTTACCTATATATGTGGCACCATTAAAATAATAATAACTTAAAAAGAAAATTACCTTAATAGTAATGTAGTTTTTTAACGATTTGGACATTTTTTCTTCTTTGCCTTTAATGTGCAAATGTCCTAAAACAAAAGCAGAATCATTAATTAGGAATTGGAGAGAGTGGGAAAAGAAATTCTCCCATCCATGTTGTTGTTAAGTGTCATCCAGTTGGTTGCAGCTCTTCACGACCATATATAGGGTTTCTATGGAGCAGCTGGTGGGTTTGAAGAACCAACCTTGCAATTAGCAATTCAGTGCTTATCCTACAGCACCACATCAGGACTCCCTTATATCCACTGATGTTTTAAGTGCTGTCGAGTCAATTCCGACTCATAATCACCCTGTATAGGGTTTCTGAAGAGCAGCTGGTGGGTTTGAACTGCCAACTTTGTGGTTGGTAGTCCAGTGTTGATCCTACAGCGCCAAAACAGGAACCCTTCCATCCATAGAAGGTAAGAAACAATCCTCAAACCTGACTCCTGAGTCAGAGACTTGTGACTACAAGTCAATCTTTAAATATGGAGACTCATTCATGTTATCATAAAATACTTTAAAAACACTGTATTCTACAATATACAAAATCCTATGAGTACACTGACATCAAAGTTTGTTCTCCAAACCCTTCATCCACTTAGTCCGGTATCAAGTATGCCCAGCACCACACTATGGGGAGACAATGAGTCTGGGTAAATGACTTACTCAGAACTCAGACAAGAATATACTCATACAACTGTGACACTAAGAACATCACTTCGTTTTATCCCTGTTTTGTCATTTTAAAACACCTGAAAAAGTGACAAATCTTTCACTTTACAAGCAAAGCAATAGGTAATAAAAACTTGTTTACAGTTGTTCCAAATTGTAGAGATAAGCTTGCCAGTTTCCGGGTATGATTAATTAGATTTTTTATTACAGTTTGTTTTCACAGATTTATCAAAACCATGGTATTATTTCAACTCCTTTCTATATGAACGATAGGAAGAAAACCAAATCAATTTAAGGAGCTTGTAACTGAGGTTGGAATTCCTTCCACATGACACTTTGAAAAGATTTATTTCCAAGTGAAGTTGTTTCCTGTTCTAACAGACGATTCTTCATTTTCTGACAGTGTTTCAAAACCAGCAGTGGTCCAAAGCCTTTTTTTTTTTTT